CAACACATGGATTTGTCGTTTCGGAACACCAGCCAAAATAACTACAGATAGAGGTACCCAATTCCAGTCATCACTGTTTTCATCCCTGACACAGATGCTAGGCACACACCACATTAAAACCACAGCCTACCACCCACCGAGTAATGGTCTAGTTGAACGTTTCCATCGGTCACTGAAGACATCACTCATGTGCCACGATAGCAAGTGGACTGACGCCCTACCTCTAGTCTTATTAGGCCTAAGAACAACGCTAAAAGAAGACATCAATACATCTGCAGCCGACTTAGTTTACGGTACGTCTCTCCGGCTTCCAGGCGACATGTTTGAGGCAGCAACGTCGAACCCACAGACACTGCCCCCGCTGACAAACCAGTTCGTGGAGCAGTTGAAAGCCCGAATGCAGTGCCTAAAATACCCAGCAGCACGGCACCACAACAAGCCCTACGTCCATATGCCAAACAACTTGCAGCAATCAGAGTTCGTGTTTGTGAGAGTGGATCTTATACGGAAGCCACTTCAGCCCCCATATGAAGGTCCTTTCAAAGTGCTGGAACGCCACGACAAGTTTTTCACCTTGCTAATTAAGGGTAGGGCTGCAAACGTATCCGTTGATAGGTTAAAACCCGCATACGTCGAAAGAATGACAGATTTCACTCCATGCACGAGTACCAACCGTACCGCCAACCCACCAGATGAAGTCTCTAGTGACGATTCCAATTCTGGCGCCGAGACAGTCGCGCCCAACCAACAAGCACGAAGCGAGCAGACCGCCCGATCAGGGAGACGCGTCAGATTTCCATCGCGCTACAAAGATTTCGTCCAATTTCACTAAAATGTAATGCTTATAACTCATTGTACGTAAATAATTGTAAAAACTTTCTAATCGCTCGAGTGTTCGCAACCCTCTCACTGGGGAAGGAGTGATGTGGCGCCATCTATGTAGACCTGACCGCGGCGTTTCCCCCCACGAGAGGGCTAGGAGAATTAGTACTTCTTAGAGTCTCGCTCTGACATGAACACTGCTTTGTATTTTCTCTTGTGTGAACGTTTGTGAATAAATTGTTAATTGTTGGGGATTGAGAGTTATTGAGTCCTGACCAACATCAACCCCACAGTCCCTAAATTTATTGTTGTTATTATTTGTTGGTTATTTTACTACGTTATTATTAGCCACTTACCGACAATAATTATTTATCGGTTTCCATACTGTTGGCTATAACATGTGAAATTTGGATGTATTTACAAATATTAGCATTAATAAAACTAATTGTAACACCATTTAACACTACTGACGATTATGTTGTCCAATACACCCAATAATGGCACAATGTTGTTTGCGGTAAAGTACACGTACAGCTCTTTAATTTTTAAATAGCTTGTAGGTCTCGATCGTCTCGATTTATATTCCATTGGTCGTGATTCCAACTATTACAGGGACCTGTTAATCGTCGTGTCCTTTATTTTTAAAGTATACTTTAAGCAGAAAGAAAGGGAGCGATTTGTTATTCGAATATTTTTGTATTAAATAATGTTGGAAAAATTGTGTAAAATGAATTAGCTGCGTTTTAATAATGATACAAATATAGTCGATAGTATGTTTATTTTTGTGCATTTATTAGTTACTCACATTTAGTTTAGGAAAAGTGTGTATTTTTTTTATTAATGATATTTTTACAACTGGTCAATAATTCAACATCTTATATGTATGATAAGATTTAATACACATTGTATAGAAAATTATTGTCTCTTATTTTCCGGCCTTACACTGACATATATATGACAAACATATATGTTTGTCATACAGAGTACAAATGTTTTGCTCCACTGTTCAACGGTGATAGTGGAGCAAATCCATTAAAGGCTTTTGGTAAAAAACAATTGTCATAATAAAGTATGTTCAAATTTACCGCATTAGCTTTAACTAGTTCCCATCACCATTCATAGAGGGCGCAAAAACTCGTTCCTATTTTTTTTAACGTCTTGTCGCTTCTTCTTGTAGTCTGTTCTGTGCTCAGCATCACTTGTCAGCTAGCGGTGAGAGTGTACGCTTCGGCGGCTGTTAGAGTCACAATAAACAGCTCTGCATTCTTTAACCGAGGGCAGTGTTGCCAACTGCAGGGAATTTTCCCTTTTAAGGGAATTTTAGGATAAGAAAGGGAAAAAGGGATTCTTTTAACAAAAGTTGGCAATTTTAGGGAATTTTTAGAAGCATTCTTAAGTAGGCTGACAACGCAGCAAAGAAAATGTGAAAATTGATAAATCATAATTTTTTCAGCTTAGAAAAGAGCAACATAGTTTGGTAGGTCTTGGCATGATACAAGAAAACATGGTATGCTATCGCGCAATTTGTCTGACGTCAACTGGAATTAAGCTAACGCGCGAAAATTCAAATCATATTGGATCAGGCAAATTACGGATATTTTTTGCATTGTAACGAGATCATTGAAATGTAGTGAAAATTTTACCCGCCATTATACAGTGAAACCTGTCTATGCCGGACTCTGTAGAAGGCGGAAAACTGCTCATCGCGGAAATTTTCCGCAGTCCCGTTTTTTCAAATACCCAATTTAATGTATTTTGGTCCGTATAAGCCGGAAACTGCATAACGCGGAAACGGAAAATGTTTGTAAGTCCCAACGTGTCAAAATACATGTACCCATCTCTGTGTAAAACGGAAGCGAGAACAAAATTGATGATTTCTGCGAAAAACATGTGATTCAATTCGTAGACCTGCAGGTGCATTTTTTGTCAACACAAAGTCACTGTTCTCAATTCTTATTTGATTAGTGTGTCTTGTGGTTGTATGTGTGTTCGCAATGGCCCAAAACAAGACCAACAATAACAAGAAAATGGATTTAATTAATGTACACGAGCCGCAAAATTTGAGTGTTAAAGTAAGTAAGTTCGGTTGGAAAAAAAGCAAGTATATCAAATTATAAAACATAAAATAAATTAGAGAAGAATGGCAAAGTGGTGTGCGTGTAGCCAACATTTTGCAGTTGAGAATAAGTATAGAAAATATATCTCAATGGCCGAAGAAGCAAAGAATAATAAACGACTGCTTTAAATAATTCTTTTATATGCAGCTATGTATTCAATTTAAAAAAAATTGATTTCCGTTTTATAGAGGTTTACTTTCCGTCATAGGCGGGTTTCCTGTAAAAGCCGGAACCCTGTTTAAGACGGATCAAAATTCTGGACCCGCGCGATTCCGGCATAGACAGGTTTTACTGTAAATACAAACTCTGTGTCGTTTCTTCAATAATATATCGATGAACTGTGATGTGATAGATAAATTTTCAAACATTGTTGATTGCATAATATCTGCTGAATGTGATATTTAAATATTGGTGAAAATTGTTATTCAATATATTATCTTTATATCTGATTTAACTATCTTTCCCTGTAAATTGTTTTTTTTTCTGTTGAGAAAGATATTAATATTAATAATAATAATAATAATAATAATACCAAACCCTTGACGCTTACTTGCAATCCACTTCACCCACATCTTCATTATATTCCGTATTCTCCATTCATTAGCAGTAGTAATCTAGTGGCGTACCTACATGCTAAGATTCTCTTTTTACGAAAATGACTTCTTGTGCAGTGTTTGGGTGCTCCAATAGCCGTTATAAGTGTAAAGATATTAAGTTTTATCGTTTTCCAAAAAATAAAGACATTTGTGACGAATGGGTAAAGTTTTGCCTGAGAGGAAATATTAATGTTAAAAATGGTAAGTAATTATGTATCACTGTCCCCGACCATTTGAAAATTCGATGAAAATAGAGCGCCAGTTTATCAAAATTCTGAATAAATGTACCCGCTTGACAATAAAAGATTTGTTTTTTCGCAACAAGGTAACATTTTTGTACAAAATAAATAGTTTATCTAACTGTAAGCAAAATAGAATTGTCTTTTTTTCTCACTTCGCGAATAAATAAAGGCATATTAACCAGAACAAAATGTTTAGAATTTTTTATTTCAGCTCGAATATGCTCGGAACACTTTTCTTCAGAAGCTTCATACAAATCACTTCAACAGCAGTTGTTACAATATAGCCCTAAAAGTAGAAGAAGATTAATGCCTAACGCTATACCAACGGAGAACAAACCTGTGCAACACACCCCGATGTCTCCTAGCAATAGAGGTTCAACCCAAGTCGTAAAGCCCACAGTTTCACCCATTTCTGGTCTTCATTGTTCAGACGCAGAAACTACAACAAAAACCCTCAGTGAGACTTGCAGAAAAGAACTATTTCCTGTTACCGATGTTTCTTTGGAATGCAACTGGCAAAGCAAATATAACGACTTGCAAGAACAAATGAAAAAATTAACAGAAAAAAACAAGGCACTGCAACTTGAAACTGAACTGCTACAACAAAATTTGTCAACCATTTTTACGAAAGGGCAAATAACGCGATTAAAAACAAAACGAAACGTTAAATGGAGCGCCCAGGATATTTCCTCTGCCATCTCGTCTTCGCAAATGGGCCCTCTCATTTGACATTAGGCAGGGTTTTTTAAAATCTGTGGCAGTCTTGATAAAAGATAAAGCTCGCATTTTAACAGACCTTGAACGCATCACGGTTTTGTCTTTTGATGAAATGTATGTAAATCATCAAGTCTGTTTTGATAAATCACTTGAACAAGTGTTTGGTCCAAATCGTGCTGTGCAAGTAATAATGTGTCGTGGTCTATTTGCCCAATGGAAACAGCCCATTTATTTTGATTTCGACACCGCTATAACCAAAGACATATTATTTAATGTTATCAATGAACTACATGCTTGTCAGTATACAGTAATTGCAATTGTAAATGACATGGGGCCAGGGAATATGGCACTTTGGAATGACTTCGGAATTAACATGCAAAATACCTGTTTTAATCATCCATCTGATGAAAGCAAACAAATTTTTGTGTTTGCCGACGTGCCGCATCTTCTGAAATTATTGAGAAATCATTTTCTGGACCATGGTTTTGTGTTTGACGGACAAAAAACTGTATAGAATCATTATTATCGATTTCTTCTGGCAGTGACTTGAAAATCGCTCATAAGATTAGTCGTTATCATTTAGATGTCAAAGGGAGCCAAAGACAAAAAGTCAGACCTGCTGCACAATTACTTTCTAACACAGTGTCCAAAGCCATACAATGGTGTGGGGACAACAACTTAATAAAGGATACAAATTATGCAGAAACATCGAACTTTATAAAATTAGCCAATGACTGGTTCGATATTTTTAATACGAATTTGAAATTCTGTCCTTCTGGAAGTAATGCATATGGCATAAATGTGGACCATCAGGACCTCATTATAAATACAATGACTGAAACAATGTCACATGTTCGAGGAATTGGGAAAAAAACACTGTTACCATTCCAAAAAGGAATTATCATAAGTAACAAGTCCCTGCAAGGTTTGTACCAATATGTTACCCACATCTTTAAAGTGGACTACATTTTAACACGTCGCCTAAACCAAGACGTATTGGAGAATTTTTTTTCTTTCATTCGTGCCATGGGTGGTAGCAATGACCATCCTAATCCTGTTGACTTTAAATACAGGTTGAGGTGGTACATTTTGGGCAAACACTCTGCAGCTGCAATATCAGCCAATAAAAATTGCGAAAAAGATGAGGATGAGGCCTTACTCTTTTCTTTCTCCGATGAGTCTGGTAACAGTGATATTTGTTTGACTCATTCATTATTTTCAAATATTTTGGACACTGGTATTGAAGATGAAATGTTAAGTAAGGAAAGCGATGTGGCAACTCTTCACTTTGCTGACGAGTTCGCTGAAATTGAAATAAATCTTCCCAATACTCAAGTCAGCCAGGAAGGACTTCAATACGTTGCTGGATATGTTGCTCACCGTTTCCGGTTAAAATATCCACATCTTGGAACTCCCGCGGAAAATATACCTGGACCAAGCAGTTCCAATTGGATCCACTTTCTTTCGCAAGGCAACTTGCTGCAGCCTTGTGCTGATTTAATACATGCAGCAAAAATTTTAGAGACGTTGTTTCTACTTTATAACGGAGATGGTATCAACAAAGCGCCAAACATTTTTAAGAAGTTAACACATCAACTTCAAACTAAATTATCTCCAACGGTAACATTACCAAAGGAGGTATTACACTGCCTGGTTCGAACTAGAACCTTTATTAGAATCAAAGAATTAAACAAGAAAACTTCAAATCAGAAAAACACTAAAAGGAAAATAAAGAAATTTATTCAGTAAATTACATGATTATAATATAATATATCCATTTGCTTACCTTTTACAGCGGCATTACTTATGTCTTGTTATGGTTGATTTATTACATTAAATGAAGCTGCATACACCGATCTTTAGGCCAGTTTCATAATACAAATTAAAGCTTCCTTTACAATGCAATAATATTCTTCCCGCTTATGTTAAATTACAATTTGTAATTTCAATATTAATAACTTTAACAATTGACATAACCTCTGTTTTCTAACCTAAATTTATGGTTATGTCTGGTGCTTGTCAAAAACATGTCAAAAACGTAAACACAGTGTGACGTTAGGTGGAATCTGCGCGAATGGTGCTTAAACTCGCTATCTCCGTAGCATACCATGTTTTCTTGTATCATGGGTCTTGGTTGTGTGTTGAGTCAAGAGTAGACAAAATGTACTAAATGTAAAACGTAGGTCAACTTGTCATTGGTCAAGAGTAGGTAGATGGTGGGTAGCTTAAATTGTGGCCACTTTGAGGATGTTGAGATGAGATCAGAGAACTGGAGCAGGGATGAGATGTTAAAAATTAAAATGGCGACAAATCGACAATAAAGCAAGTGTTCTGTCGTGTGGTAATTTACAAAAAATCTGTAACTTCAATCGAGATGGACAATGAGAAGATAAAAAAAAGAAAAATCCAAGCAGACAAAACATTTAAAAGTTATTGGCTAGATGATCCACTTTTTAAAACATGGCTATTACCAGATACTCAGGGCCGGTTTATCAATGCTCAGTTAAAAGTGTCTGTTAAGTAATTGTCAGATAAGGGTAACTAGCAGTTAACGGAGGTAAAGTGTTTATCAATGCACGATGTTTCTTCCAGTTTCGTAGCTCGAAGTTTAGCTGTTACTCTCTTAAGTTGGTAACGCTCACCCCACTGGAAATGAGTTGCGATTGGTCAGTTCAAAACTACCCCGACCTTGAAAGTTCCATCAGATTCGATCCGCATTCGGTATTCAACGATTGTATATCGCGTTTCACGTGATCAATCATGAAAAAGCAAAATTTAGCATTAGAAAAAAAGTAATGGAGATTAAAAATGAAACAAGTAGGTACACCTATAAATAAATACAGAGAGATCGAAAAAGAAATTAGTCAAAGTTGGCCATGCACGAAAAGGCGTTTGTCTTAGTTTAAAATAATTTTTTATTAATCGTCACTGTTATCAAACGAAATTAAAGCTTTTTTGTTATTAGAATCTTCAGAAATGGGATAAATTTTAGACAAAATTGGAAAACGGTGATTTTAATTCATTCTTATGTGTTTTAAAAGTAGGCGTCATAATTCTAATTTTAAACTGTCAATTTGACATTTAATAAAAAAAATTAAATTACCCTACCACCGTGATTACGACAAACGGCTTGTCGTGCATGGCCTACTTCGATTAATTTCTTTTTCGATCTCGCGGTATTATTAGATAGGTTTTTAATTTTTGGTACCTACATTAGACCTGGAAAATAATCAGCTAATAATAAGTGTTTTTCTCATCTTTTCTTTGTCAATTTGTTCCACAACATAAGTCCTCATCAAAATATTGTTAAATTCATAACAGATTTATTTGGATTTGTTAGGTTATGTTGCCACTAACTGGTGGATAACGCTTTAACTGACAGTTTGAACTGTCAGTTAATTTATCAGGCACTTTGACCACCAGTTTTGAGCTAGCAGGTAATGATAAACAGGTTAACTCACAGACAAGCTTTAACTGCCAGTTACTTTAACTTAACTGCGCATTGATAAACCGGCCCTCAGTCAAAGTATATGGCAAGGTATAAAGTTAGATTATGTATGTAGATACATACAGGGTCATCAAAATTGATTGAGAGAGTTGGTACCCCCTGTTTTTGCCGTGAGGTTTGTCAACCTTATGACAGATTTGTTTAAGGTTATACGGCAATGAATTCAGGGGCGTGACAAGAGAGCTGAGGGATGATTGTCGAACTTACCTGAATCAGTTGTGAATACGAAAGTTACCTTCTTGCAAAGTTGCGAACGGTTTTGACGTTTGGATGAATCGCCTCGGTCGATGCGCACCCTATACCTTATTGCTACTCGCACCTTTACGAACAAATTCCAGAAATGAACGAATCTAAAATTCGAAACTTCAAAACTGACAACTAAAAAAAATCGAAAAAAGACGCCACTGAGTTTTGAAATTTGAAACTTGAAACTTCAAATCTGACAGCTAATCTTTTTATACAACTTAATAAACCAAATTATTCAAGTTCAGGTTTACCAACTCTCTCAATCAATTTTGATGACTCTGTACTCTTTTAATACTTTTTCAGATGTAAAATTTGCAATGTAACCATCAAATCAGGGAAAAGTGAGTTACAAAAACATGCAGGTACGAAAAAACACTTGGAAAAACTGAAGCTAATTAATCACAATAAAAATGTTGATATATTGTTTAAAATCAACGAAGATACGGTGCATAAGGATAACGTCAAAAAAGCTGAAATTAAACTAGCAGCAGTATTTGCAGCTAACAATATTGCATTTCGAGTTATTGATCAATTAGAACCTGTTTTAAAGGAAATATTTCCGGACAGTAAGATATGCCAAGACATCAACATAAAGAGAACCAAATGCACTGAAATTGTGAAAAATGTTTTGTGCAAAAAGGAGACAAATGACTTAGTGACACATCTGAGTAACAATACATTTTCTGTGCTCTTGGATGAATCAACTGATATTGGTGATTATAAAAGCGTAGCTGTGTTGGCAAGATTCTTAAACCATGATAATAAGATCGAAACTCGTTTACTGGAATTAATACAACTAGATGCAAGAGATTTAGGTGCTACAGCTTTATATAACACATTTAAAGCATGTTTAGAAAGACACAAAATACCCTTGCAAAACATAATAGGTTTGTTAAGATAACATCAGTTTATAAAATAACTATTATTTATAATTCCAGGTGTTGCGTCGGATGGCGTTAGTGTCATGATTGGAAAAAATCATTCATTTTTTCAACTGCTGCAAAATGATGTACCACATGTAATATTGCTACGTTGTATATGCCATTCTGCCTCACTAGTTGCATCTAATGCATGCACTGTCTTACCTCGAAGTTCTGAAGAACTTTTGAGGGGTATTTACACCTACGTTTCTGGAAGTTCTAAAAGATCTGCACAACTACAAGAAATGCAAGAATATTTTCAGGAAAGGAAGCATAAAATACTTAAACTGTCAGCAACCAGATGGTTAAGTCATTTTGAGTGCGTAGTTAGGATTTTGGAGAACTGGAATGTATTGGAACATTACTTTGCAATTGCGGTGCTAGAAGACAAATTAAAAAGCGCCGAGTTGATTCTAAGTGAATTGAAGAATATATACACAAAAGGATAACTATTTTTTTTTAAATATGTCCTAAATTTGTTTAATAGCTTTAATGCTCTTTTCCAAAGCAGAAAGCCTCTAATCCATGTCTTGTACTCAGAGTGCATAAACTTGATGAAACAGTTATGTAAAAATTATCTGGATGGAGCGATAGTGCTCGAACAAAATCTACTTACACTAAACTTGAACAACCCGCGTCATTTTTCGCCTTTAGAAAAACTATATGTCGGCCCAGAGTGTTCTGCACTTGTAAAGACAATGCCCCCTGATGGAAGAGATTTATTTTTAAAAAATTGCCTTAAATTTTACGTAACTGCAGCTGTTGATTTACAGAGACGTTTACCTGAAGAAATATTTAGGGATATGAGGTTTCTGAATCCCAATGTTGCATTTGCTAAAAGTGATGATGAGAGAAATATAGATTTCAATATATTATGTGATAAACTAAAAAATATTAACGCAGATAAGACTGAAATCGCCATTGAATGGCGGAACTTGCCAATTTCTTTTAGTGAGACTGAAATTAAAAAATTTACATCCTTGCAATTGGATGAAATGTGGTTAAATATTTGCTCAACAAAAAAATTTAGTGAAGATTTAGCTTTTCCAAATTTAGGAAAGTTAGTCAAGTCAATATTAATTCTCCCTCACTCTAACGCAGAAACAGAGAGAATTTTCAGCATTGTCACTGATACAAAGACCAAAAAAAGAAACAGGATTGGGGAGAGTTCTTTAAACGCTGTTGCTGTTTTTAGGAGCTTTTTACAAGCAACAGAACTAGATGTTGTCAAGTATCCGATAACACAAGACCATCTGCAGTTACATAATGTTGCAATGTATTCGTTTAAACAGTGATAAAGAGGCTAGATTTTTTTATTTGTATTGTAATTATATAACTATATTTTTGTTACTTTGTGTTGTCAATTTTGAAATTATAGTGTTTGTTTATTATATTATTATTATTAAAAGAAGTTAAAAAGAAAGGAGCGTTGTTTTTGGGGAGGAAATTAGTAGATTAAGTGTTTTCTTGATCCGTGAGAAATTTTATCAATTTGTAATGGTAGTAGATTAGATACCTAGTTATATATATGCAAAAGAGAATTTTGAGGCTGACAAGGGAATTTTTATCGTCTATGTAGGGAATTCGACATTACAAAGGTTGGCAACACTGACCGAGGGTTTTATTACCCCAAAGAAATCCCTACACAAATAAAGCACGCAACCAGTTCTTCTCAGAACTTTCAAATCGGAGCATACCCGGCTTCCTGGTTCGGGTCGGTG